CCAGAAAGTTTTGAGAGTATGTGAGAACACTTGGGAAGTTTTTGGAAGGGATTAAGGGAGAAAATACTTTCCGCCTAAGTTGAACTGGTTAAACAATTAAGGGAACAGGTTCAAACATCTAAGGGAACAGGTTCGAGAATTAAGGGAATATGTTCAACATCTGAGGATGATGATGAGGATGATGGTAGAGATTATTTATGTCTTTCTGACATTATTTTTGGAGATAATGATGCTGATATTTTTGTCTATTCATCATGCATCATGACATCATACTTTTGTTAACATGATCATTATTTTTCAAGTATTATATTTTGACTGAATGACATATTTAACTGTTCTACTGTTTCTCTTTATTTCTTTCTACTCTGACTTTATAATCTTTGTCAATTTGTTCCAAAAACGGGGAGAACAATGTTATCTTAAGGGGGAGAAAATTGGATATTTACTTAAGGGGGAGTTTTAAAAAAAAAAAAAAAAATTATTAAACTTCACTGTAGTTATTGCTTGATATTGTGCAGGAAATCAGGTACAATCATTTATCCGAGAAAAGAACAGAACAGAGAAGAAATTCCAGAAATTTCGTGTTGCCCTTTGAACAAAATTGTAATTTACTTTTCTACTTGGGTAGATTATGATGTGTGTTCAATGTTACCACTCACAATAGTACGAATCTTTGTAGGATAAGACTATATAGAGGGTGTCGATCCCACAGGGAGATAAGTGTTCTTTGTTTTGTTTCTAGCTAATCTAATTCCTTTTTGGTTTACAGGTAACTAATCGAATTTGATTGGTTGGTTGTCACGAATATAAAGTAAAATTAAATTGAATTTAAACTAAAGAGATCAGAGAGAAGAAATCTTAGGGCTTTGACTTCACTACGAACCTTGTACTATGGTCAACTATTCAACTCTAGGGTTTTCACAATTTATGAAATGAATTAAACTCATTAACATTCGTTTAATTCGGTTTTAAAGAAATATGTTTTATAAATTTCAATTAACTATAACTTATCTACGGTTAGTAGGGACAATCCACCTACCTACTATAACTACTTTAACTAATTTACAGTATAATCCATCTTTCCTAAGCATAGACTATGAATACATTTATTTATAAAAAACATTAGAACACCATTACATGATCTCCATTCTTATGTCCAGCAGGGCTCCACCAGATACTATCTAATAAGAATGGGGTGAGAATAATTAATGAATACCTAAATCTAAGACAATGCATTAAATATTCAAAAACTATTTAAAACATTAAAATCCAATTGAGTTGGCTTAATTGCTCAGAATCATGAAATCAAAAATATAATATATTAAAAATACGTAAAGTTGAAACAATCAAAACGTAGTACTAAGAACGGGTTACATCAGTGCCCTAAAAGAGGAATTAGCTACTCATAATGACATAAAATATCATCTGAGTTGTTGTGGTCTTCATCATTACGGACAGCACCTCTCTTCTCAGGATCTCATCTTTTAACGTTATGGAAACCCTAAAAGTTGCCACCATAATATGAGAACTCTAAACAATATGAGAGAAAAAAAGACAATTCTTCTGAGGCCTTATGCATGGTTTTATAGAAGAATTAACGTTCTAGCAGGCTTTTGGGTCTTCTGGCCCATCTTGAGTGAAATAAGACTTAAAAGGGATAAATCCTGTAACTTATAAATCCAATCTGTCATGGAAAGCTTGAGCTTTAGAAGTAGAGCTCAAGTTATTTGGAAAGGGCTTGAGCTTTGGAAGCAAAACTAGAGCTTTCTGGATCCTAGCTCGAGCTTCAAAGAATGGTGCTCGATCTTCACTTTTGTACTTAGTCAAATTTCTTCAACTATTTTCTGAAACGTCTTTTCCATCAACACTTAGAATATTTTTGGGTTTTCTTCCTTTTAACAGTGCTCGATCCTTTCTTCATAGGGCTCGTGCTTTAGGTGTAAAGCTTAAGCTTTTGGCTCAGGGCTCGAGCTCTGAATGACAGTGTTCAATCCCTTGAGGTCTGGCACGAGGTCCTGGGAGTTTGGCTTTGTTTGAAATCCATCTTTTAATTTCTGACGTCTCAAGCTCGAGCTTTTAGGTAAGGGCTCGAGCACCCTGAAGTAAGGCTCGAGCACCCTTATGTAGAGCTCGAGCTCTAGAGGTCAAAGCTCGAGCCCTAGAACTAAGGCTCGAGCCTTGGCACTTGAATTGCTCCAAACTTCACCATTTTAACTCTCAGCTTGCTTTAAATGACCAACAGCGACTCTATAAGCTTCGATATCAGTCTTTTCATCATAAAATCCCGGTTTTAACCATTTCTTTGGGAAAATACTTATAAACACACAATAAACATAAATTAGTCTAACAATGGATAGAAGTATCACTTTAGGTCTTAAGATACAAATATTTAGGGGCTTGAATATGCAATATTCAGCGCTCATGACACCCCCCAAACTTACGTATTGCTAGTCCCTTAGCAATACAGAACTAAAAAGCCGCTTTCGTGGGAATCACAGTTGCATTTAGCTTATACAACAAGCCTTTAAACCACTAGGTTACCCCTAGTGGACGAATTATAGTCTCGTGATGTTTCCAGTGATGGTACCTACAAACATCTTAAACAGTGCCTTAATTACACAATAAACTCATTCAAGTCTATTTTCAAGTCATATTATCCCAGCTGTTCATCAATCAATCAAATGCAGCAAGTACAACAAATTATATCAATCAGAAAAACTTTTAAACTTTTAATTTCAATTTAGCAACCGTGGTCCCCACATGTCAGTTTAATTATTTATTCAATAATCTTAATCTCCATTTAAAAGTAGACTTACAATTTCAAATATGTGGCTTACTATTTATACTGGTATTCATTTCATGTTATTCCTCAATTTACAGGCAAACTTTTCAAATTCCAATTTCTAAGGTATTTTTTTCTTATTTTCTACAGGTATGCATTTTTCAAAAGGTTACTGTGTAATGCTCAGGTCTATGAAGCTTTTTAAATCACCCATGTAATGAACTTTCGACCAATGACTCCCAAACTAGATCTTTTTAGGGCATTAAGTGTTAAAGCACCCCTCTAGACCTAATTGTTCTAGTAATCTAGGCAACCTAAACCCCTTATGTAGCAAGCTTTCAGCCAATGACTCCCAAACCAGATGGTTTAGGGCATTAGGTGTCAAAATACACCCCTAAAGACTTAATTACTTAAGCAATCTAGGTATAAACCTGAACTTGATTCTTTTCTTTTTCTTTTCTTCACTTTTTTTTTATCGATTTCTTTCACATTGGTGAAGAATTGTTTTTTCATTTATTGCATACATACCAATTCTTTCTTTTCTTTCTATATTTTTTTTATACCTTGGGTATCAAATTCACCTGCTCATCCTAGTTTATCACAAAACAAGACAGGACTTCAAATTTATACCCCATAGAATTAATGTAAGTGTGAATATGTGCTATCACGACCCAAATTTTCTAAATAAATTCCTCAATTTCAGAAATCCAAATACTTCAATATACACCCAAGATCTCAAAATAAATAAAATATCATTTATTGATACAACATCAATATCCTCAAATAAATACAAAATTCCCTAAATAAAATTAAATAATATCCTGAACATCAACTCTTACACATAAGCCCGAAACTAGCGATCCAAGCTCATCCTTGGTACTTGAAACTGGAAGGGGGTGAAACGGAGGAAGTCCCAGTAGGAAAAACCATAACAAGGATTTCAAGAAGTTTCATACAAAATTAATTTCACAAAAATATACATATACTTTTAAGCAAAATATATACATGCAATTTTAGCAAAATAATAGTCAATAAAATATTTGAAACAAAATTATCTAGGCCATTCAAGGTACGAAGAACCCTACACTGAAACATAAATCATCACTGAAATATCTAGACATCAAACTTCCAGCCCCCTGTGAACTATCAAACATCACTCTCCATCTCTGCTCTCACTCTTTAATTCTTTAATTCCTCTATTTTTATTTCTCTTTCTCTCATTGCAATCACTCAGTGCGCGCGCACACACACACACACAATTTATAGTAAACTCCACCAACACAACAACTGCTCACCACCACGCCTCAAAAAGGAGTCAAAAGATATTATCTTACTTTAGACATCCATAAAATATATATACAATATTTCATCAGACATAATGCAAACAACCCATGTGCAAAAATCAAAGTCAAAAAGGTTATGCACGAATATCCTCCTAATGGGTCCCACGAAAAAATCATTACATTTCCTTTTCTTTTTGTCACAATTTCGGTTGCCAGCTTGCTCCTCTTCCATTAGATGATACAAAATGAATACATATATATATATATATATATATATATATATATCATAAATAAAGATGCAACAAAAAACTAAAATTCAATCCCATTTAAACATTCTTCAAGTGGGACCCGCAATACCACTTTTCCATCTCCATTTCTTTTTCCTTTTTCTTTTCACTAAACCTGGCTGGTTCCCTTTTTTATTCAACCCAAGTGCCTTCCATCTGATAGACACACACACACACACACACGTGTGTATATATAATGTAACATAAATGAAATTCAACCCATTAAATATTAAGTGGGTAAATCTAATCAGAATTAAAAACTCAATCTTGACTACTAAAAATTATGAAATAAATAAAATTTTAACTCTTAAAAATTCGGGTTGTCGCATTCTCCACCACTTAAACAGAATTTTATCCTAAAATATAGATGCAACAGTCTTCGCATACCTGAAAACATCAAAAATGGCAAAACACAATCCCAAAATCCTTACCCTAGTCGATGTGAGATACTGTGACATGAAAAACATTGTGGTAACCGACACTGCTAATTACTCGCCCACACACTCTGTAACCATTGTGGTAACTAATTGATGCCATCACCTGCCCACAAAAACAAGACCAATAATAAACCAGGCTCTGTCGCGACCCGAATTTTCTAAATAAATTCCTCAATTTCAGAAATCCAAATACTTCAATATACACCCAGGATTTCAAAAGAAATAAAATATCCTTTATTGATACAGCATAAATATCCTCAAATAGATATAAAATTTTCTAAATAAAATTAAATAATATCCTAAACATCAAATCTTCCACCTAAGCCCGAATCTAGCGATCCAAGCTCATCCTTGGTACCTGAAACTGAAAGGGGGTAAGACGGGGGAAGTCCCAGTAGGAAAAACCATAACAAGGATTTTAAGAAGTTTCATACAAATTAGCTTCACAAAAAAATACATATGCTCTTATACAAAATACATATATACAATTTTAGCAAAATAACAGTCAATAAAATATTCAAAACAAAATCATCCAGGCCATTCAAGGTATGAAGAACCCTACACTGAAACACAAATCATCACTGAAACATCTGGACATTAAACTTCTGTGAACTCCCACACCTCACTGTCCATCTCTGCTCTCACTCTTTAATTCTCTAATTCCTCTATTTTTGTATCTCTTTCTCTCATTGCAATCACTCGATGCGTGCGCGCGCGCACACACACATAATTTATAGTAAACTCCACCGGCACAACAACTGCTCACCACCACGCCTCAAAAAGGAGTCAGAAGATATTATCTTACTTTAGACATTCATAAAATTTATATACAATAATTCATCAGACACAATGCAAACAACCTATGTGCAAAAATCAAAGTTAAAAAGGTTATACACAAAAATCCTCCTAATGGGTCTCACGAAAAAATCATTACATTTCCTTTTCTTTTTGTCACAATTTCGGCTGCCAGCTTACTCCTCTTCCATCAGATGATACAAAATGAATATATATATATATATATATATATCATAAGTAAAGATGCAACAAAAAACTAAATTCAATCCCATTTAAACATTCTTCAAGTGGACCCACAATACCACTTTTCCATCTCCATTTCTTTTTCCCTTTCCTTTTCACTAAACTCGGTTGGTTCCCTTTTTTATTCAGCCCAAATGCCTTCCATCAGACACACACACACACACACACACACACACACACACACACACACACATATATATAATGTAACACAAATGAAATTCAACCCATTAAATATCAAGTGGGTAAATCCAATCAAAATTAAATACTCAATCTTGACAACTAAAAATCATGAAATAAATAAAATTTCAACTCTTAAACATCCGGGTTGTCACATTCTCCACCACATAAAAAGAATTTCGTCCCGAAATTCAGATCCAACAGTCTTTGCATACCTGAAAACATCAAAAGTGGCAAAACACAATACAAAAATCCTTACCCCAGGCGATGTGAGATACCGTGACATGAAAAACGTTGTGGTAGCTAACAGTGCTAATTACCCGCCCACACACTCTATAACCATTGTGGTAACTAGTCGATGCCGTCACTCGCCCACAAAAACAAGACCAATAATAAACTAGGCAATACATGCCCAAACATAATTATTGATCATCCTAGTAGCTGTCAGTGAACGACACCCGCCCACACACACCAGGCTACGAGTGGTGGCTAATCAGAACTAAGCACTCACCCACTCACACCTGTCAACATCATCACCAAACTCACACTTCCGGCTGGGTACAGGCTCTGATACCATTCTGTCGCGATCCGAATTTTCTGAATAAATTCCTCAATTTTAGAAATCCAAATACTTCAATATACACCCAGGATCTCAAAAGAAATAAAATATCCTTTATTGATGATACAACATCAATATCCTCAAATAAATATAAAATTCTCTAAATAAAATTAAATAATATCCTCAACACCAACTCTTCCACCTAAGCCCGAAACTAGCGATCCAAGCTCATCCTCGGTACCTGAAACTGGAAGGGGATGAGATAGGGAAAACCTAGTAGGAAAAACCATAACAAGGATTTCAAGAAATTTCATGCAAAATTAGCTTCACAAAAATATACATATGCTTTTAAACAAAATACATATATGCAATTTTAGCAAAATAACAATCAATAAAATATTTGAAACAAAATCATCCAGGTCATTCAAGGTATGAAGAACCCTACACTGAGACATAAATCACCACTGAAACATTTGGACATCAAACTTCCAGCCCTCTGTGAACTCTCGAACCTCATTGCCCATCTCTGCTCTCACTCTTTAATTCTATAATTACTCTATTTTTGTTTCTCTTTCTCTCATTGTAATCACTGGGTGTGCACATACATACACACACACACAAAATTTATAGTAAACTCCACCGACATAACAACTGTTCACTACGATGCCTCAAAAAGGAGTCAGAAGATATTATCTTACTTTAGACATCCATAAAATATATATACAATATTTCATCAGACGCAATACAAATAACCCATGTGCAAAAATCAAAGTTAAAAAGGTTATGCACAAAAATCCTCCTAATGGGTCCCACAAAAAAATCATTACATTTCCTTTTCTTTTTATCGCAATTTCGGTTGCCAGCTTGCTCATCTTCCATTAGATGATACAAAATGAATATATATATATATATATATATATATATATATATATATCATAAATAAAGATGCAACAAAAAACTAAAATTCAATCCCATTCAAACATTCTTCAAGTGGGACCCGCAATACCACTTTTCCATCTCCATTTCTTTTTCCCTTTTCTTTTCACTAAACTCGGTTAGTTCCCTTTTTTATTCAGTCCAAGTGCCATCCATCCGACGCACACACACACACACATACACACACACACACACATATAATGTAACACAAATGAAATTCAACCCATTAAATATCAAGTGGGTAAATCCAATCAAAATTAAATACTCAATCTTGACAACTAAAAATCATGAAATAAATAAAATTTCAACTCTTAAAAATTCGGGTTGTCACATGTGTAAAGTGAAGTGTTTCAGAGATCAAAATCATCAAACAGTGATCATCATGACATAGTGGACCACAGGCCACCTACTGATTTCAAAAATGTTCAACAGTTCATTTTCAACATAACTTTGACATACAAGCCATCTCTAATCAACATTAGTTTACATAAAGATATTATGACAATCAACAGACTCAAAATCATGCTTTCAACATCAAAAGTGTAATGACCCGGTCTTTTTCCTCCTTTTCCTTTTTCGGCGATTTTCTTTTTTCGTCTTTTTCCCGCTTATTGTTTTCCCTTACATAACCTCACTTGTTGTTCTCGGATTTGATTCCGGTTTTGCATGCATCCATGATATTTGATTTCCATGATAGTGGTATTTTTACTTTTGTAGAAAAGCATGTTATTTGCTTACTTTTTTCATAAAGGGCATGGATGCATACTTTATTATAATTATTCTTTATTTTTGGGGTTTTAGTGTAATTATGTAAAATAATTATTTTTCATCTTAGGGACCTTTTTGAAATTTAATTTGTAAGATATTCTGAAAAAGGACTTTTTTGCAATGTTTGGAAAGTGTGACAAGTGTCACACTCTTATGGTGCCACTTGTTACAATGGGGTAGAGTGACTTAGATGTGTAATCTCTAGACATTTGGAGGATGAAAATTCACCCACTTGTTGGCCGAGGATTGGAGCACTTGTTGGCTTAGATGGTTGACAAGTATAGACTTAGGATTAAGCCTAGGAAGAAGTCATTGATTTGTGATAAGTGTAGGCACCAAATTAAGTCTTTCATTGTGTGTGTGTGAGAGGTAGTGTAAGAACATATAGTGAGTGGAGGAATACTAGATCCTCCACTCACCATTTTCACTTTATCCTCTTCATTTTCACTAGTTTTCTAAGAACCCTAACCTAGCCACCATTGGAGAAATGCTTGGTTAATAACTTTGACTTCGTTTTTGGCCTCCTTCCATTCTCCCTAGACTTAAAACCTTGGAACACAAAATTTTCCACTCACTCTCCTCTTCATTAACCCTAAACTTGTTTTCCATTTTGAGCTTGGTTGCTTGGATTATAGAGATTCAATTCTCTATTGATATAGGGGTGGTAGTATGTTTATATCTTAAGTATTTTATAATCCTTGAGGTTTAATATATATTGTGTACATGCTTTTAATATGATAGTCTTGCATATTATAGGAAACCCTCACTTCTTGACTTAGGGTTTATTAATTTAAGCATGTATGATATGTATAAACCATGTGTAGAAGGATTATATAATTTAAGTATGCTAAATTCTAGTATTTTTCACATGTGTAGTGATATAGAACTCTTGTATAATTATTGATGTCATATACAATTCCTATTGATTTGAATTGTTATATTTATGGTGGTGATAATTCTATAATCATGTTGATAATAATTGTGATTATTGTAGAAGCTTATTTCTAAAATGTTAAGATTTAGTGTATAAAGCTTGTTGTTGAGGCATGATTTAAATTGATAAGTTGGTGGTATTGTTTTGCACATTATATCATGTTAAAGACTTGTCATTTATTATGCCATTCTAGACTTGGAACCCTAAGACATGGTTTGTATGGTTTCAAAATGCTTATGCATGGAAGGTGGTATATATCCCTTAATATTATGTATAAGTTTTGAACATGATATATTTTGGATTCTCTTGGGACATTGTTACAAGTGACATGGCTAGAGTTTGGCTCTAGTGTGGGAGGTATGAGTTCTCCCCAATTGAGATAGTGCGCATTAAAGTGGTCTTCCCAGTGGTTTAATGCCCGGAATAACTATTGAGGTCTTGGCAGAATTCCGAGCTTAGATGTCCAAGGATTCCACTTTTTGATTTCACATTCAATTCCAAGTTGACAATTAATGTTTTAATTGTAACTTGTAATTTTGGTTTCATGTGATTTGATGTTGTTAAGTACATCCATTTTGATATTGCGTTGCTAGATTCAATTAAGTTAGCTTAAGATGATACCTTAGAACACCTTGAACATAGACGTTAAGTGGAATGCTCTGTTGTATTTATCTATATTGATCTTGCAATGATATTGAAACTTTAGGGTATACGCATATGCTTCTTCCTACAAGTAACTTGATTACTCACCCTAGTGGTTTGGGTTGTTTTTCAGGTAAGGAGACTATGTTTTTAGATGCTCATCATCCTTAGAGGCTTATGAGCAATTTGAAGCATTTTTGTATTTTAACATGCAAGTGTTTAGCATGCTTTACTTTTGATGCCATATTTTGTATACCATGGGTGTATGGTATTTTAGAAGCCAATATAGTTTCCTTGATGTGTAATGATACCTAAGTGATTAATTTAGATATTAGAAGCATATATGTAATGAGGCCAAGGGCTAAGCATGTTTATTTTAGCACTCGTGTTCATTTGGTACCAACTTTTGCTATAAAAATGTACTTTTACCAATTTTGGAGGTTTGGTATATGAAAATCTCGTGATAAATATGTATGAGGCTAGGAGCTATTGTTTTACATTCAAATATGCATATAAAGCTTGTTGACATGTTCACATTCTCAAATCTCATTGAAAATCACATTTAAACTTTCATTTTTGGTCCATTACATGAGGGGATTTGAAGCATGGGTTAAATCTTTACACATGATCAAGCCCCTTTGTGGGGGTCGTTTTTCCTTTAATCAAAATGAGATGTTTTAATATGTGGTTTAGGAAAAGCCTTTTACAAAGAATTATCAAAGAGTCAAATTTAAATTTATAAAAACCACTACTACTATAATGAAGTATATAGCGAGTAGGGATCGAACTCAAGAGACCTTTGGCTTGGATTTAAACAAGACAATTGGTTTTAACAAGTGATTACCATAAGAGAGAGAGAGAGAGAGAGAGAGAGAATAAAAGAGATGGTTGGTTGATTATGCTAGTGAACAATTAAATTAAAATGTAATGAAAATAAACTAAATTGGAGTTAAGGGTTTAAGAGATAGAAGAGAATTCTTAGGGTTTATTGGAATCACCACTAAGGTCATGCAATTAACCACTTGTTTTTCAATAATGGGGAGAACATTATTGCAACTTAAATGTAGCTTCAATCACTAAAACAACTTGTAATCAAATATGCATGAATTATCAATTGTGAGTATGAATTGTCTACTTAATGACATGTAAACTAGGGTGTAGAACAACCCATCAAGCCTATGCATACTCTATCAAACTAATCAGCAATCCCATCCAATAAAACCCATGCCATGGCCATCACTAAACCCAAATAACAATGGAATCGAGTGTTGAGTATAATCCTCTAATCACACATAGACATGCAATTACATAGAGACTTAATGAAAGAATTAATCTTTAAAATCTAATCAAGAGCATAACCCTAAATTAATTATACATAGACATATAATTAACATATAGAGTTAATGGAAGAATTAAACCAACACAAGCCATGATTTGTCAAATCAAGCATGTAAATAGGAATCACAAGGCTATAACATCAACTACAACAATATATTAATCTCCCCAAAAATAAAAATACAAGGGTTTAGAAATACATAAACTTAGGGCTCAACCAAGCCTTAAGTGGAGATCTAGCCCATCATGGTTGTGGTGGTCAAGGTGTCAACAAGATCCTCCTCCTTGCTTTGCTTTTTCTTCTTCTTCCTTGAAGCTCTAGACAGATGAATATGTAGATGTTCTTCCCAAACCTTGTGCCTCCACTCTTCCCTCTCTTCTCACCCTCTTCCCGTTCTCCAGAGAGAATATATCGATACGGACTCCAAAATAAAACTTAATTATAAAAATAATAATATTCACCTAAATAAAATAATAACTAACTCTAAACTAATGGCTCACTGGGCCTTAAGTAACAAACCCTATTAAAGCCCATAAGTTACAAAAATAAGCCCAAAATAAGAAAATCTCGTAATACTGCCAGGTGTTGGGGGATCGATCCCTTAGACTTGGGGATCAACCCCCAAAGGGCATTTTTAGTTCTGTGAATAGTGGGGGATTGATCCCCCACCCTCCATATTTGGAAATTTTCTTTAAGTCTTATTTAGCTCCATTTTAGCCTCAGGCTACTTGGTTTGCTTCTTAATCTTTGGGAACATCATCAAAGGCCCGAGATTTACCGCTTTTGAAGAATAAGCACACTATACGAGCAATGGGCTGCGACCTCTTTTTGCCATTTTCTGAACTTTTTTTGAATGTCTTTGCTTGACTCCAAAAAGGCTTTAGTGAACCAAAATTAGTCTGTTTGAACCTTATTGACTTGAAATTGACAAAAACATAAATTAGAACTAAAACATGAAAATAAGATAGATGCAATGACTAAAATACCCTAGTTTAGGTGCTGAAATGTGCAATATTTAAGCACTTATTGTAACGACCCACTCCACC